TGCGAGCTGTTGAACCGATGATCCACGCCTTCCACGTAACCTGCAAGTCATCACAGTTGGCGAGGCGAGGGCTGGGGTGTTCTCGCGAAAGGTACTGGCGGCACAGGTAGCAGGGATCAGCTGGGAGAGAGGAAGCAGGCCTCCTGCTATCTACGCATCAACCAGCTCCTTGTTACTGCCCGCATTAGGCCTTCTCTTCCTCGCCTTCCTGGAGCTTTTTTTGATTTATCCTTCTGATTTGTTTTTGATGTATCCTTTCTGTTCCCCCGCCACCACGTATCCTGATGTTTATGAAGTAAGACTGGGGGGCTCCTACATGTTCAAAAGTAACAGGCAATCTTTATGTTATTATTACTTATTATTTACTTTTTATTTTTATTATATTATTTATTTTGAGACAGATCTCGCTTTGTTGCCTGGGCTACGAGTGAGTGCGGTGCATCAAGGTTAGCTACGCAAACCTCAAATCTCTGGCTCAGCATCTGTTGCTCAGCCCTCCCGAGTAAGCTGGGACTATAGGCATGCACCACAATGCCAGCTAAATTTTTCTATATATATTTGGCCAATTAATTCTTCTATTTATAGTAGCAGACGGGGTGGCCAGTCAGCTCCGCATTACCCCCCCGGGGCTTGCCGAGGCTGGTTTGGACTCCTACTTGGCAATCCTAACCCCCTTGGCCTCCCAGAGTGCCTAGGATTCCACAGGGTGAGTCCTGAGCCCGGCCCACGGGCAAATCTTACTTCCTAAAACAGCCATCTATGGGCAAAGTACGGCGGTAGCAGAAGGTAGAAGGAGAACCTGTCCATGTAAAACAGCTAGGCACAGCCACAGAGATAGGGTACGCAGGTGAAAAGTTTTCTAGATGAAAGTGAGATTGTTTTGATGAAAACATCCTCAATGGCAAAGTGCTCCAGGATAAGAGGTATCTTCCTGTGAGCATGGCCTTATTTCCCGAAGGGTGAGGACCTCTTTCCTTGAAACCCCTGTGCTCCAAGGTGCATGTGAGGGCAGGCACAGCTGCCCCCTCAGAAATGAACAGCTGCAGCTCCTGCCATGTCTCTGCGCACTTACATTTTTTTTTTTTTTTTAAGGCAGCAGAAAATGATGTTATTAAGGAAAGCAAGATGGATTATAGCCAACTTACTTCTTCATGAGGGAACCAGTGTCCGGACCGTGCCAGGCCTTCTGGGTGGACGGGGGCAGCCACATCAGGGTAGTCACCAGGCCGGGCAGCACCACAGACGGTGAAGCGCGCGGGAAACCCGATGATGTTGGGGTAGGGGCCATTGGCTTGGACCCGCCTTACCGGATTTTCTATTCAGCCCAGTGGAACAAACATGAGGCCCATATCAGATAACAAGAAGCTAGAATGAAAAGAATCTAAAGGCCACGAACAACAAACTACATTTATGCTCTCTTATCAGATATTTATCAGTCTATATGCCAGGTATTATAAATGTGTTGGGACTATTAGATGACTCCCCTAATCAACCTTTATCTATACTGCCTTCCATTCATCCATTCATTCATTCATCATCCCATTCTTCATTCATCCCCATCCTCCCGATGGTAGCAGAACACAGACGTTGAAACGCTGGATCAGATGCTGGGTTTGATTCAAGGTCTGCTACTGACAGGATCTTCGGCCAGTTACTACGTAAAAAAAAAGTAGGCCCCTTATCAAGCTTTGCTTTCCTGGTACAGTTACCTGTGGCTAAATAGTGTCAATTCACCTATTTTTTTTAATGTTTTTTTTTGATATGAGGCATGTTCACAGGCAGGTCGTGAACTCGCGATTGGCTGGGACTATAGCGTGTGCCTTGCCACTAGCTTCTTAATGAATTAAGGAGACAGCAGAGAGAGAACTCGTATGTACAGTATATGTTGTAATTGTTCTATTTATTATTATTATGCTCTTAATCTTTACTAAGCCTAAATTTATAATTAGTTTTTTATCACAGGTAGTGTCTATAGCAGAAACATAGGATATATAGGTTCAGTACATCTGTGGTTTTAGGCATCCTGGGCTCTGAAATGTATCCCTTCAGGATTAAGGGGGAGACTACTGTGCTTGTCTCTCTGGGTGAGTCTCAATGCAAGAGGGATAAGGTAGTAATGCTGCATAAGGGTGATACATATAATACAATTAGGATCCCGTTTTAACCACAGAGTAAACACCAGCAAATACTAGCTTTGCATTACTCACCTCAACCCAGTGTTTACCTGCTCTCACACTGAGACCAGAACTTGTGCTGCTATGCTGTGAGCTACGAGCAGAGAACAGACAGAGTCCCTTATGCTCATGGTTTGAATCTAATAGTCTACGAGTGACATTCATTAAAGTAAATACTTTACTCCCTAAAGAGTAAGGACCAAATGCCTGAATTTTCTCGCCATGATCAGGATTCTTACGCATAATATTTGGCATGGAGCTATGAGCTTTGACCTGTGCTGATGAATAATGGAAGCCGCAGATGTAGTTGACGTAGCAGTGGTGTCACCTGCCTGCCTGCTGGACCCTCCTCTGAGCCCTGCCACCTCTGAGGCGCAGGGCGCACTCGCGATATGTGGGTGCTGCTGTGGCCCAGCCCCCGTCCTCCACGCAGACTGACTGGACCAAGGTGGCCCTCCCCAAGGGCAGCGAGCCTACAGGCACATCCATTGATGGTTGGTGCAAAGGGAAGGGAGGAGGCAGAGTCTCTCGAGTGTGGTGGCAGACCCTGCGGCCAGCAGTGGAGCTGAAGGGGAGGACGACTGCAGGCTTCCTGAGCACAGGGACGCGAGGGGAGCTAGCAGAGTGGAGGCTGTAGGAACAAGAAGGGTGGGGGGATAGGATGCTTGGACGGTGACAAAGGAACAGAGCAGAGGAACAATGCTGAAGACTTGAAACGCCCTGTCCCCAGAGCTGCCATGTCCGTCCATGTGATGCCTGTACTGCCCTGTCGAAGTCCACCTGAGCTGGCCCTGTTTGTGCATCAAAGGAGTCACAGCTGTTCATG